ATAAAAGTTACACCGGTATCATTTGAACTTTACTCGTATATATATATATATATATAACACGGATAAGAGACGCAACTAAGCTGCAGATCAGAAGACAAGTACATGAAATACTAAAACAAAACAATAATAGACATAGAAACTGTAAAATAGTACCATTAAAATGCATTTTGTGGCGGTTTCAGACCGCTACAAAGTAATTGACTTTTCTGACGCCCAGGACCAGCGTTTACAAAATATACCACAAACCGTTTGTGGCGACTGTGGATTCGGCGATTATTAATGACGCTAGTAATGTCATTTGTGGCGGTTTTTAACCGCTAGAAACCGTCAAAATAACTGCCACAAATCACACATTTTTTTGTAGTGAGTACTATATGGTTTCTACTTTCTAGATGTATTTTGCTTAAATCAATACCTTTAAATATTTCATGTTCCACCCAATTACTAATAAGAAAACCAATGACTTTATTTATTTTTAAATAATGTCTTCAATTATTAAATTTATTTTACTTTTCTATATATGTAGTTATGCCCAACTCACACATTGGGATATTCATCCGAGATAGCCTCCCATCACCCATGCCATTTAGTATAGGTATCTTTAAATTTTTTATTTTTTATTTTTATATATTTGCAAGTATTCACATGTATTCAACTATCCATGAATATTTGATAAATATCAATTTTAAATAAAAAGGTAAGGAATAAAATAAAATTTAAAATAAATAATTATAAAACATGTCTCAACCTCATTATTAAGTGGATACTCATTTAATTATCTATTTAACATTCATAGCAAGTTTTATCTATAGATATTTGTAAGTACGAATTTTTTTTTTTTTTTTTTATCCCTACTCACTCTTGTTTGTAACAATAAATTGTAATTATTTTATTTTTTGTTAAGCTTTGTCGTCCACAATTCACTACAAGAAAATTGTTGTAGTAATACACACCCTATAATAACATAATATTTATTACTAAATGTTACTTTTACCTACAATATATATTGGTATGTGTTAGTAATATATATATTCTCATAATTGTTAAAAAAAAGTGTAGATATTGATTATAGTAACTCACAATATATATTATTGAATCTCATTTAAAATCAACAATTAAATTTGTGGGTGAGTACATGTTAAATTAATTTATACTTGCATATATTGTACATATATTTAGTTAGGGTCATGGCTAAGTCAAGGCCATTGCCTTAGGCCCCTGGTCTCCATTTTTTTAAATAAATAATTTTAATATAAATAATTAAGTAATATATTTTATTATATTATAATTAACTAATTAATGCATAATTGTTTAAAATTTATATGTACACACAGATAAATATTATAATATATAATATTATTAATTTGTGAAATTTTATTACAATTTAAAAGTTATTTTACATTTATTTTGAATTTCAATAAAAACAATGGTATCAAAATGAATATAAGAATTAATTTCGATAAAAAATTAATAAAAATAATTGTGATAAGATCATAAAAATATCATGTTAATTTTGCTCTTCTAAAAAAATATTTTGTAGTTTTAATTATTTTTATAAATATTAAATTAATTTATTTGATTATATTCACACCATATTTTAAAATATGAAATCACTTTAAGAAAATTATTTGAATTTCAATAAATAAGATTTTGAAGAAAAAAAATATTATCTTAATTTTATATTACTGATCACAATTTTTTTTTCTGGTTTGAAAATTTTAGAAATTACTAACAAAACAAATTAGTGTTCCACTAAAAGTATTAAATATATTAAAAAATTAATTTATTAAATTTATTCAATATATGTTTATAAAGTACACCGTAAATAGTGATTGAATTAATTATTTTATTAGATGTTGAAACTTCTTAATTATTAATATTTCATAAACAATTTATTAATTAAAAAAATAAATTATTTAATTAATGAAAGTAAAACATGAATGAAAAATTTATCTTAGGCCTATAGAATAAACAAAAACAACAATTTTAAATTATACATAAAATACACTTTAAAATAAAAATTAATAAAATTGGTTTTTTTATTATATATATTATTATATAAAATATATTTTAAATTAATAATTCCTACTCCGCGGGAGTAACCGTACTAATTTTTATTAATAGTATAGATTAAAACTGTTACAATCACATATAACAATTTTTTTAATATAATCATTTTCCACTCATTGCAAATCATTTTTTTTTCATTGATACCTATCATGAAATTTTTTAAAATGTAAATTATAAGTATAATTTAATCCTATAAAATTAACTAATAAGATAAGAAATGTTCTCCATTTATATATTTTTTAGTTGTTTTATCTCTAATTCGATGTGAGATTTTAGTTTTTTCAATACACTTCCTCGTATTTAATTATTATTGAGTTTGTTATATAGATATATGATAAATGACCCTTTTCCTAATACACTCCCTTATAGGGAAAGCAAGTAAATCTGTATTTGTGGATAATGTCTGAATTTGCCCGATTTTGTTGAGAAATACCTGATTTGATCAAGCACGGGTATTGATACAGATAATATCTGATTCATTAAATCATATATGGGGACGGGGATGCATATATACATACCCACCCGTACTCATACCCTCTTAAAATTTATAAATATTTAATTTAACTTTTTTAGAATTTACTTAAAATTTATGTAATTTCTTATTTTATTTTTAATTCATATCAAATAAAATTTAATTAATGTAATTTTATAATTATTATTTTATATTAAAATTCTTATTTTTTTTATATTTTTGCAAAAAAATAATATTTAATTAATATTTGGACGGGTACGGGACAGATACGGTTATACTGGAGACAAATTTTATATCTGTCGAGTATAAAGACGGGAATGGGTATAAGGTACCAGAACGGGGACGGGTATAGAAAAACTCGTACCTGTCTCGCTCCATTACCATCCCTACTTCCTCTCTTTTAGTACTATTGAGTTTGATACGTGTATCAATGATGAATGATCCTTTTAGAGTGGATTTATGATAACTATGATATATTTTAAGAATGCTAGTTATAAATTTAACTCAATCTTATAAAATCAATTTATAAGATAATAAATTACCCTCACCTATATATTCTTTAATTACTTTATATACTCAAACCCTAAAACCACTTATATATTCTGCTTAAGATTGTTTGGTTAATACTTGACATAGTTTTCCTAAAGAATAAGAAAATATAAGCTAAAGAATGAGAATATATACAGTTTGTTAGTTGCTTCCCTTCTATGTGCTAACTTCTATATTTGTACATGTGTGTGTTTTAATTTTTAATTTAGAATTAATGGCTTATTTCATAAGGATATTCTCAATGTGGAATGATAGTGCTATTGCACTTTTTTTTCCACTAAAAAAATTCAGCTAATTGCACGTACACAATACAACACTCATCACTTGTTGCCCTCATTAATTTATCCAAAAACACTCAATAAAGCTCTGACATTTTCTTACCTCACACATGTTCGTACCCTAAAAACAACGCGTTGATATCTTTAATAACTCATTTGCTTATTTTTTTTTTAAAAAAAGGTTCGTACTCTAAAACAAGGAAATAATAATAAAAAATTTATAAAAAAAAAACAACAAAACACGTTGATATCTTTAATAGTGTACGTGTTTATAGATATACCATTAAGAATTGATTTTACCCCTACAGAGTGACGACGATACCATAAAAGTTAAAGAAGAAACAACTATTTGTTGTTTTAGCTAGTTTTACCGTTCAAATTTTTTTTCACTGTGAAGTTGTTCCAAACATACTATAAGAAAGAATCGAATTAATAAAAATACTACATAGACAAAAAATTAATAATAATAATTATTATTATTATTTTATTAAAAAAAAAAAGCAGCGTGCACTTCCCCGCCCCCACCTATATTAAATGAAAAATAACCCCCAAAAAAAATCTATCCATTTTGTTTGATCACAATATTACATAAACCCAGATAACCACTTTAATTACTTGAGCCTAGCTAGGATTAATTGGTACATGCCCTTTTGCCCCAAGTCACTGATCGATGGAGTGGCCAACTACTATAAAAGCATTTAAAACTGAAATTTTATACCACCGTGAGGACTAGGTTTTGTTTGCTATTTTGCAAAGTCAAATATATATACGGATTTCTATTTAAATTGTGAAGAGAGATCAAAGTGTGTGCAGTGAGAACATGTTAAGATTTACGTCATTTTTTATTTGACGTCAAGTATTAGAAATAACAATGAATTATTTTTAGATCAGTTTTAATGTGATTCTTATTTAAACATGTATCATCTTATTGAAAATCTTGTACTGAAACTGTGGTGATCATAAGAGCAGTGAGCGATAAACATTGTCTTTCTCTAAGTGCATCGTGTTACCTTTTTTTTAGTGAAAAAAAACAGTAAGTGTATCTTTTCTTCAAAGAAGAATGTGTTATATGGGAGGAAAAACAACAGTTCAGTTTAATTCGGTCAAAAAGTAAGAAAAAGAAGAGGGAGTTTATAAGTAAAAAAATAAAATAAAGGAGAGCGTTTAAGTATAACAATTGTCCTCTTTTAAACTTGTTTCGGGCACTAAGACAAAAAAAAAAAAAAAAATGTTCAGTCAAGAATTCGATTCAAATTGAGTCGACATGCTTCTGGCCCGCTGGATTTGTCCTTTTAACAACACTAGATGAAAAGAAATATATATATATATATATATATATATATATATATATATATAAACAAATATTATATGTATTTTTTATCTTCATAAAAACAATTTTATTCAAATCGAGGAATTTTGACATGTATATCAAGTGAGGCACTTTTGTTTTATTCAGGAGGTTCATCGGAAAGAAGGTATGTTGAGTTGGAATCTTAAAAAATTGTTTTAATATTTATTTATTATATAATATGATTTAT